CTAGGTGTGTTCGGGTCTTTTCCCGTGTAAGATTAAGAGTATCTTGGTGATGTTTCGGTGAGGTCCCACTTGCCATCCTCAGGCTGGTGCTTTCTGCTTTGTGCCAGTGCAAGCAGATACATATATACATGCATATATACATTGCTCAATGCATATATACATATTGCTCAAAAACATAAAGGGAACACTTAAACAACACAATGTAACTCCAAGTCAATCACACTTCTGTGAAATCAAACTGTCCAATTAGGTAGCAACACTGATTGACAATCAATTTCACATGCTGTTGTGCAAATGGAATAGACAACAGGTGGCATAGGCAGTTAGCAAGACATCCCCAGCAAAGGAATGGTTCTGCAGGTGGTGACCACAGACCACTTCTCAGGTCCTATGTTTTCTGACTGGTCACTTTTGAATGCTGGCGGTGCTTTCACTCTAGTGGTAGCATGAGACGGAGCCTACAACTCACACAAGTGGCTTAGGTAGCACAGCTCATCCAGGATGGCACTTCAATGCGAACTGTGGCAAGAAGGTTTGCTGTGTCTGTCAGCGTAGTGTCCAGAACATGGAGGCACTATCAGGAGATAGGCTAGTACATCAGGAGACATGGAGGATGCCGTAGGAGGGCAACAACCCAGCATCAGGACCGCTACCTCCGCCTTTGTGCAAGGAGGGACAGGAGCGCTGCCAGGGCTCTGCAAAATGACCTCCAGCGGGCCACAAATGTACATATGGCTGCTCAAACGGTCAAAAACAGACTCCATGAGGGTGGTATGAGGGCCCGATGTCCACAGGTGGGGGTTGTGCTTACAGCCCAACACCGTGCAGGATGTTTGGCATTTGCCAGAGAACACCAAGATTGGCAAATTCGTCACTGGCGCCCTGTGCTCTTCACAGATGAAAGCAGGTTCACACTGAGCACATGTGACAGGGTCTGGAGACGCCGTGGAGAACGTCCTGCTGCCTGCAACAGCCTCCAGCCTCCAGTTTGGCAGTGGGTCAATAATGGTTTGGGGTGGCATTTCTTTAGGGGGCCGCACAGTCCTCCATGTGCTCGCCAGAGGTAGCCTGACTGCCATTAGGTACCGAGATGAGATCCTCAGACCCCTTGTGAGACCATATGCTGGTGCAGTTGGCCCTGGGTTCCTCCTAATGCACGACAATGCTAGAACACATGTGGCTGGAGTGTGTCAGCAGTTCCTGCAAGACGAAGGCATTGATGCTATGGACTGGCCCGCCCGTTTCCCAGACCTGAATCCAATTGAGCACATCTGGGACATCACGTCTCGCTCCATCCACCAACGCCATGTTGCACCAGACTGTCCAGGAGTTGGGGGATGCTTAGTCCAGGTGTGGGAGGAGATCCCTCAGGAGACCATTTGCCACCTCAAGAGCATGCCCAGGAGTTGTAGGGAGGTCATACAGGCACGTGGAGGCCACACATACTACTGAGCCTCATTTTGACTTGCTTTGAGGACATTACATCAAAGTTGGATCGGCCTGTAGTGTTTTTTTCCACTTTACTTTTGAGTGTAACTCCAAATCCAGACCTCCATGGGTTGATTTCCATTGATAATTTTTGTGTGATTTTGTTGTCAGCACATTCAACAATGTAATGAACAAAGTATTGAATAAGAATATTTCATTCATTCAGATCTAGGATGTCTTATTTTTGTGTTCCCTTTATTTTTTTGAGCAGTGTATACACACACACACAATATAGTACTATATAATATAGTAATATATATATAGTATTGATTTTTTTAAATATACATCCATATTGCATGTGAACAGAGTTGGTTCTGGGTATCATTCATATTAATCCCATTCACAGTACCAGTGTTGGTAATCGCCATCACATTTATCAAATTTAAGTAATCCTCATTATATTGTTTAAACATATATAGAATGTATGGGACTTTAAGGCTTTCTCCTGCCAAGGAGAGCACTAGGGAAGGCAGCGCAGCCCAGTGAATAAGCCAGAAGCAGAAGGAAAAAATCACGGAGAGACCAGGATGATCCATCCAAGTTCCAACTGCTGGTTGTTGGAGACACCCGATAGCCTTGGTATTGTAGTTGTATCTTCTGGAGAATCTCCTCTTCCTCTTCAAATTCCTGGTAACTGCCAGGACCACACAATGCTGATGAATATAAACCATTCAGGCAGCCTTTCCATCAGTGCTGATTAACAGGTGAGATAGAAGTACCAGATGAGTTTAGAAGCAGAGAGCCTCCCTCTCTGCCCTCTTGCAAAGAGACATTTATCAAGGGAAAATACATGTATCTCCTGCTTCGCATTGCCGATGTGGCAAAGGAGGAACGTAAGACTACCATACTGGGGCCATTTGGAGCTCTTGTGTGATGGACCATGTCAGTCAGCGGAGGATGTTGGGGATGAAGCTGGCCTAGTTAGGTCCAGTATGATGGTATCCCCTCTGAACTTGACAGATGTCCCACGTGGCCTTCTCCCCACTTCCTCCCATAGGATGAAGGTGGCAATATATCACCTAGTTGACATTGGCATAAAAGAATGGAAGATCTGTTCTCCCTACTCCTGTTCATGGGAGTAAAAACGGGAGCTTGGCATGTCATACTGAGTCTTAGACCACTGAACTTGTCTATTAGCCATTGAATCTGCAGGATAGGGTTTATTGAGGTGCATGACAGAAATCATTATCGAAACATCTTTTAAACTATGGTATGATAAACATGCCAGAAGCTTACCTGCTCATTTCCACAGTTTTCTTGGATTTTCCTAAGTGAAGGAACAGTCCCAGTTCAGAGCAACTTCTCTTTGAACTGGCTTCAAGTTCACATCTGGACCTTTGCATGCAAAAGCCTTCCCATTGGGTTACCATTATTTCCAGGTTAAAAAGAAGCAAGGGGTGAGATAGCTTTTGAAGAGTCTCGCCCACCTTTCCAATAATTTCTATGTGCTTGGAACACCTTTCTTTATTATCTTATAAAGTGGGCTGGTATTATACAGAGTGTTTACCAAAACCTGAGGCTTCTGCAGGTTGAAATCCATGGCAATCATGTGCAAAAGTGTTTATAGCACAGACTAAGAAAAATCTTCAGGAAATGTTTTGTGGTGAATGTAAAGAGTTCATTCAAATTCCAAATACTTCCTTGGGAGATCTTTGTAGGGTTCTCACCTGGCCCTCTTGAGTTCATTTTTATTAATTACTGCAAACTTAATTTGTACGACCCTTCACAATTTTCCTCTCACAAGAGAATCTACAGAAAAGAGTTTCTGGCAAAGCTCAGGACCCTTCTCTTGAAAACTCCAGTCCCAGAAATGTCTCTAGTATGTCTTACTGTGGACGTTAGTATATTAGACTTACAATGAGGGTCCACTTCCTATAGCAGGTACAGGCCATGTAGCCTCTCCAGGCAGAGTGGGGAGAGGATCTCTTTTTTATTCCTACCTTACCTTTTTCAAAATTTATCCTCCCACAGAAAGCTGGTTTTAGTTCTTCCCCTAGAATGGATGGTGAAGTAAAATCTGTTACTGTAGAAAATGGTGTTTGCTATTAAGTTAAGTGTACTATCGGTATTTTCTATCATTCAGGCAGTCTTTAACTAGTTGGGAATAGTTTCTCTAATGCTTGAGTCATTAAACAATTAATCCTAACCAATTATATAATCCTACTTTTTGATTAAAAAAAGTAATGCTTGTTTAATTCCATAAGTTTTTTCCCCTTTCTCTTTCCACGTTAGAGTCCATCATTGTCAATATTTGCCTTTATTCTCAAAAACCGCTACTAAAAATGGTACATCTATTTCTTGCCCAACCCTAAACCTAGTGGAATCACTAATTTTATGTGGAGGGTGGGAATAGCAGTAGTTCAGAGTTTAAGAATCGCTGCTTTATCGTATGCTCTACTCTGATTCCTTAACAGCTGCATCTGGGGATATGCAGGCCTACCAGTTACGCAGGACGCCAACTACCACTTCCCTTCCACAAACAGTTGTGATGACAACGTCCTTGACATCTCAGTCAGCCAAAACAGATGATCCCCAACTGAAACGAGAAATAAGGCTGATGAAAAATAGGTATGTACTTTCCACTTATGTTCTGAAAAGAGATCTTATGCAGAGATTACTAATAGGTTTCAGTTTTTTATCTTGCCTAAGGAATATCATTCCCTTCTAACTAAATGCTTGTTCATATTGCTTTTTTTTCTGGTTTCACTTTATTTTTGAGTGGGAAATACCTTCATTTAAAAATGCCTTATTTTAAGAAATAAGGGGGAAAGAATTGTTTTTCATAAATAATTAAGAAAACAAAATTCTTGAAAAATAAATTTAATACATCCCCTAGAAGCTTTAGTTTTTTCACTTGTGCTTTATAATGAAAAATTTTGAAATGTTCCATCACATATATCATACATATATTGATAGACCACTTGAACTTCTACCGTGTTTTTAAATGTATCAAACTTCTGAAGTAAAATCCTAAATAGGCTTCAGACTATGTTACATCCTTCTGTGGGTACTTAGTTTGAGGCCATATTCAGTGGACATACAGTTATTTTGTTCCTTTAGCATTAGAGCATATTTATACATAGTTGCTTTTTCTTGGACTAATTTAACTGTAGAGAGCCTTGACTGTTGATTTTATTTGGTATAAAATATTGACAAAATGCTCAGCATTTATTTCAAAATTTAGTTGAAAGAATTAAATCAGATATTAGCCTAAGGAGGGAAGGGTACTATCAATTAAAAACACAAAAAAAGTTAGTCAAAGGCAAAAAAAATAATAAAAAGCTAAAAGGTATAGAATAAAATTATATACATAAAACAAACATCTAAAAGGAGGGGTAGGAGGATAAGATGGATTTAGGGGAGCATAAATTTTAGTACATAGCAGACCACGTCTATCACAATAGACACTCTAGAATGACTAAAGTATACTTTACCCGGCAAGGGAATATCCTAGAAAAATGTTAATGCCCACCATCTTCTCTAAGCTAAAGTGGAATGTTTGTAAAATATTTTGAATTTCATATTGTAATTGACATATTTTTGCTTTTGGATTTCAGAGAAGCCGCTAGAGAATGCCGTAGAAAGAAGAAGGAATATGTGAAATGCCTTGAAAATCGAGTTGCAGTCCTTGAAAACCAGAACAAAACTTTAATTGAAGAACTGAAAACTTTAAAAGATCTTTATTGCCATAAAAGTGTGTAAGAAAAGAAGGTAAAAGCTTTTTCACGAATATCAGGGGGATTTGATTTTGAAAAAATTAAAATGAAAGGTCAAAAATCTCTTCAAATTCTACAACTTAGACTCTTAAGATATCATTTGAAATTGTTGCATGGCAGAGTACCAAAAGAAAGCATGAAATTGTGTGAAGAAGCATTCCTTGGCGCAACTGGAATCTTGATTCTATCAGGCTATATGGACATGTACCTTCTGTCACTTGAGCGATTGAATTTCATGAGCTGTAGTTTAATTTTAAATGCTTGTTAACTTTTGATTGCAGTTAAATTGCAAAGAAGCTAAGACTGCCATCAGCTGTAAATGTCTATTAACATGCTTAATCAGGATATATTCACGTTTTTTCTTTAACCCATCATGCTAGATCTGTGCATGTAAATTGACAAGCAATGAACTGCACATCTGCAATGAGCATTCATATGTTTTGGTTTATGCAAAGTCCGTAAGCTTCAAATTCATGCATTCAGAGTTCCCAGTTGTGTGGTTTCTATTTACCTTTGTCATATTAGTGGATGAGGCAACCTCTGTATTTTTTGTATACCTGGAACAGTCCTCCTATAAGAAGGCTTTTCAGTTTTGTATACATATTTTCCTTCAGATTGGAAATTATAAACCACTAATTTGTTGAGACCATACAGATTATTTCAAAGGCAGACAATTTAATTTTTTAATGTATTGTTTATCAGTATTGATAAAAGCAATGGATTCCTTGTGGTTGGAGGCACCTGAAGGCATGAAATATATATCAATCATAGCTATTCCAATTTTTTTGATGTTTTATTCAACTGAACAAATGCTTCTAGAGAATATCTTTTTGCCTATGCATTTAGTCACAGGTAAGAAAAATGTCTGAAAGACATTCACATTCAAGTGAATGTGCATCATGTATGCTATTTGAAGATGCTGTTCCTGGCATACAATGACTGAACAAATGCCAAGATCCTTAGTTCTGCCCATTTTATATCAGAAAGAAGCCAAAATTACAAACCAAAGATAATGTGCACAGAAAGACATTGAAGTACTTAATTTCAAGACTCTATTTGTAAACCTAGTAGTAATTTTTTTTTCTAATAATTCTGATTTTTATAAAGAAGTAATCCAGCTGGAATTGATCTCAGATATATTTTTATAGTTAAAATAAATTTACCTTTTATATGGGTATTTTAGATATGTACAATTTCAGAAAGCAGATATTTTTCTCTCAAATTTTCAACTTTGTATTTGTAGAATTTTTTGAGAAACTAAAGACTATTTCTGTGTACTTTCATCTGGCAGGGATTAATAAAAATATTCTGAATGGGAAAGGTTCCTATTGTTCATAGAAAAATGCATTGATCGTTTCAATATGAAGATGCTGTCAGGGATAATTATGTTACTTTGCTTTCTTATTTTCAAGAAATGTTAAAGAGTTATTTTGAATACCTAGTGAATGTTAAGCTAACAGTTGTTGCCACAATACTTAATCATTCCAATGATACCCTTTAAAATTATGCCATTGAATGCATTTCAATCTATATTTTAGGCCAAGATGCTATTATACTGCTGCATATGTTAAAATTCTGGGCAATTTTGAGATTATCATGATACATCATTCCATAGAAAATACTATGAAATCATTCCTTCTGGTACCAGCAGTCTTAGAGAACAGACAGCAGAATATTTCTACACAGCCATGGAAGTTACAGAAAATTGCTAATAAACTTTAAAAGAAAAATGATAGTGCCTTTCTCTCCCAAAACTGTTAGTTTCCAAGAGCTAAAGAAGAAAAGAAGCTGCATGGATTTCTGCAGTTTTGGGGTAAACGTAACAAAAAAAAAAGTGTAACCTGTACATTAGGCTTGACACATCTGATGTAACCTCCCCCAGCAAAGAAATAACTGGAAATGGGAGGCCCTTAAAAAAAAGATGTATCCCTGAAAATAAGCCATATGCATCTCTTGGTTCTGTTCTCTTTTAAAGACTGAAGGAGTGGGAGGGGGTACATACCACTTTTTATTACCTAAGTTGGCTCTAGGCAATTTAATACCTACCAGTACACTGGACTGCTGTTCACATTATTCTAACCTGATGGACAAAAAGGATTGTGAGAAGTTGTGATCCATGAATCTGGAGGATATCAAATTGCCCATCTCTATAGTTAAATTATTCTGAAAAGAGAAATTGGATTCTGGGAATGGGTATCTTTGGAAGCTCCTCTTTAGGGCTCCACTGTCCACAGGCACAATGGAGCTAGGTAAATCTCAGCAGCCAGTGCTATGTGGTAACGTAGCATAGAGGGCTGATGTTCAGGGTGAAATGTAGCCAAAGCTATTGGTTTTGCACCAGAGCTCCATAGTTATGCACTGTGGAGAGAAGGGTGTGTGTGTGTGTATATATATATATATATACACACACATACATACATATATATATATATATATGAACTTTTCCAATTATTTATCCTCACCTGAATATTGAACTCTTTAAAAAAAATGCCTATGATATATATCTATAAAAACTTTTAATAAATAAAACTTATCAAAAATTGCCTCATGTTCGTGTCTTTAAAAATAATCTCTATGGTGTGCATATATACACACACACATACAGATCAGACTGCAAAAATCCATCCTAACCAGCACACACAAACCTGGTTTGCCATATTGTTCACATGCATAAAATGGCAAACAGCTGCTGTTCATAAAGCAGAGCACTTGTGTTGCTAGTCTCTGCTATTGATCACAACCACCAAGACTAATATGGCTCCTACAGCTGGACTCCCTTCTGTACTTTTGTTAATTTTATTATGTTCAGAAGAAAACTGAAGTTTTCAGATTTAACACCAACACCTGACATTTAACACTAAGATATAACATCTGATACCTATATTACCTTTTGCTAAACTTAGCTCAGTATTGCTATATGTAGGTTTCAAAATATATTTAATAGCAAAAAATACTTCATTATTCAGAAACTATTAAAATAATTAAATTTCAGAACAAGAAGAGGCTCTTAAAAACTGTCTGCAGCCTGTTGATGAATGATAAACATTTTGCAAAACAACATGATTTGCATTGCAACAGTATTCTTCATCACTCTAATTTCTAGTTAACAAGACTGCCAGTAATGTCCAGTGGATTATTATCAATTCAATGAAAGATACTTTCTTAATCTTAATCTTTAAACAATATGGCTGAACACTTTCAAGAATAAAAATAATCAAAAGCAATGTTTTCTGATTTGTTCAGCCTCACCGGCTCAGAAGAGCTAATACTTTTTTTCTTGTATGAAATTAAATAGCCTGCATTGTTCATCAGTCTTAAAAATGTCAGTTCTAGTTAGTACATGGATGGGGGACCATCAGGAATGACCAGAGATGTTAGATCAGGACGTTGAAAAAAATATCCTGGAAAATAGCAATGGATAATCACTTCTACTTTGCTATGAAAAAACTCTTATGTTCTCACTAGGAATTGAGCCAGGCACATGGGCATGGTTCCATTTTTTTTAATTAGCTGGAGAATAGCAATAGCAATAGCACTTAGACTTATATACCACTTCACAGTGCTCTACAGCCCTCTCTAAGCAGTTTACAGAGTCAGCATATTGCCCCCAACAATTTTACCGACCTCAGAAGGCTGGAAGGCTGAGTCAACCTTGATCCCGTGAGACTTGAACTGTCAAACTGCTGAAATCTGGCAGTCAGCAGAAGTAGCCACAGTACTGCATTATAACCATCACGACTCTTAATATCAAGACAATCTTATGAGGAATGGATGGCTTTTACAGAGGGCACTAGATGAAGCAGTTTATCTGGACATTTTCTCAGTCTGGATCCATACCAGGGCACAACACTGAAACATTGCCCCCATTTTATAACCTTTGGAAAGCTCAGGATGAAGCAATCATTCTGGCCATCCTGGGCCTCTCAGCAGCTTTCAGTACCATTGACCATGGTATCAATTTGGACTAGCTTTGGAGTTGGGAGTGAGAGGCACTGTGTTATAGTGGTTCTCCTTCCCCCATGACTGGTTCCAGTCTGTGGTGTTAGGAAAGGACGGATCAAGTGCTAGACCCTTGCAATGGGAAGGTGCCTCGGGCTTCAGCCTCTCACCAATCCATTTTAACTTCCACATGAAATCCCTAAGGGAGGTCATCTGTCACGATAGGGTTTGGTATCATAGTATGTTGATGATACCCAATTACAGTAGAACCTCTGGTCACGAACACTTCTGACCATGACCAAATTGGATTCCAATCAAAAAATTCACAAAATGTTTCAATCTAGTCTCGGATGGTGACCAAACACGACCCCTGACTCAGAAATTCCTGAAGATGAAACATTTGAAGACGAAAAAAATCACCAAAGTAATGGAATGAATTATGGTCGTGACCATAGGTTCTACTGCATATATCTCCACCCCTAGCCGCACAAGTGGTGTGGTGGCAGTGCTGGTCAAGTGCCTGGAGACTGTTAAGGGTCTGGATGGGGAAGAACTGGCTTCAACTCAACCCTGCAAGATGGAACAGCTA